GGGCAGCCCTGGCAGGAGCATGGAGGCCGCGTGAGGGAGGAGTTGCCACCAGTGCCTGCTGGTTTGGACTCTTTTTTCATTATTATGTTATTTTGCTCCTACCACTGGCAGTGAGCTCTACAACCATTTTTTTTTCTGACACCCCATCTCTTAGGACACCCCAGCATCAGCCCTGCTGATGACACACAGAATTTTACATGTTTATTCACTACAGACATTTTCAGTGACTCCCGTGCTCTCCAACTCACTTTTTCAGAGTCTCTGTCTAAACAATCCTCTCCTTATAAAAACTAATGAAAACTTTAGCAACAGGTTCAGATTCCTTTACCAAGGGACAAGATTTCAAAGTGAGGTTCAACAACCAAATCGCAGTGAGAGAAGAAAAATACCTTTTTCTACTCACTTAGTGGTTTTGAACTATTTACGAATAGGCAAAGTTTCACTGAAGGTGAGTGGTACAGTAATGCTTCTGACAATATCAGTGATGTTAAACCCCTGAGAAAATGTAAACACGTTTGAGACATGAAAAAAATATAACTATAAATAGTTATAAGGATGGATAGTAATCAATAATGTGTGGGCCTAACTCAATTCCTCTTGTATTGCACATAATGCCAATATACTGAGAAACTTTCTTCTGGAAAAAACAAAATTGCTTTTAAAAGATAATTTTAAAATATTTTCAATGCCGTTGCACTTCATTTAGCATTTTGAAAATTGCTAACTAAATTATGTAGCAGTAAGACAAATTAATCTCTTACAAATACAATATAAAGAAATGTGCCATGCCAATGTTCTTCTTAAAAATACATATAAAAGTATAGTTTAAATTAGTAGATTAAACCAGAGTCTTTGACTGTATTACATAAATCCCTCAGAATTAACTTCATCTCTCATTTTAAATATTTCTATCTATATCTAAATATTTATTTCAAACACTGAATTTGCCTCCTTAATTATGTGCTATGTTTTCAGGGGAATGAGCTTCCCCCCATGTGTCTCCAGGCAGATACCTGCATATCCATGAGCAAGAGAAGTATACAAACACCTGGTACGAACTTTTTTTTCCAGGGAAAGTTTAGCAGAGAATCTCTTTAACATCTATGATTAAAAAACATTTTCCTCTTCATTTTACTAGGAATCTTATTGATTTAGATCCTTGCTGAAGCCCCCAATCAGATTTATCAGAAATGAAGCTCTTCAGACATCTAATTATAACAGTTTTCATTTGCCCTTTAAGGAACTACGATGCATCAGGATACAATTTTCTCTCCTGAGTGTTTGCCTCCAGATTATTAGTACTTTCTCAAAGTTGCAGCCAAAAGAGCTCATTTCAAAAACGCAACAAAAGTGCTTTGCCATAGTTAGCAAAATCTGACAATTCATTCCTTTAAACGCTTTTGCACTCCCAAACTTGAGGGCAAATGTAGAAGAAACAGAGGCAAGGAAAGAAAGCTGAAATTGTAAAACAAGGAAAGTAATGAAGGAAAAAACCTGAGGGACAACTCTCTTCAATAAATCAAATTAGGCAAGTCCAGAACTGAAGGAAAAAAAAAAAAGAAAACCAATTCTCTAGCACTTAATAGCAACGTACAAAGCTATAGCAGAGAGCCCCAGCAGTGCTCTCACAGAACTGTGGCATCACTTAGGTTGGAAGGGACCTTGCTGGGCTTGCAGTCCAATCTGTTGCTCAAAGCAGGGTCAGTCCAGAATTCAGGTCAGATTTCTCACAGCTTTGTCCATTTGGGTCTAGAAAAGCTATGTAAACTGGAGAGTGCACAACTCTGGAGGTACAAAGCTTAATTACCCTCTTAGCAAATTTATTTTTCCTTGAATCCAGGCACATTCTCCCCAGAACCAGTTTGTGCAATCCCTTTTTTCTGCCACTGTGAACCCCAGTACATTCTCAGCCTCCTTCTTTTTTGTGTTCTAAGATTTGGAAATAATGCCAAGATCAGACAAACTGCTGTGAAGGAGGGGAAAAAAAAAAAAAAACAAAAAATGAAGACATTAAAACTGGATTATTATAGAGAGTGGGTGGAGTAATTATATGAAATAAAATGCATAACATCACTCCAATAAACAGCTAGAGTGCAAACAGAGTGAATGAGCATGAGTCAAATTCTATACCCTGGTGTCTCCAACACAAAATATGGAGCAGCACTGTAAGTACAGACAAAGGAGATTAATTAAGGCTACTAACTTAATTCTTACCTTAATTAGGTATTACTAACTTTCCAGCTGCAAGGTTTTCTTTTAATGCAGTTTTCTGTATGTAATAATGAACCATATACCTATTTAACTGATTTTGATTCAAGAGAACTGATAAATCAGAAGCACAGTCATGAAAAGCCTATGGCATACAAGTTGTGATGACTGCTGTGGCATCTGCTGTAGTTTTCAGGTCTGAATTGCTCTTTAGTTACATTAATTTCCCAATATGTGACCATTTTTTCAGCCACTTTCTGAAATTGGCCATTGCATAAATAGCTTAAATGTTTTTCATGCAGACCCTTTTCAAAATCTCATTACTGAAAATAGGAACAGTTCAACTGATGTGGATTGAAATCCTTGGACTTTGCAAGTACATCATATTTCTGAATGGATAAAGCTACAACTCAGCAGGTACTTAGGTATGTACATACTAATTGCATTCTAATAGTACTTTTGATATCAGTGGAATTGACAATGTTTTTGAAACGAATCATCCACATACCCATAATGCCGAGCAAGAGATCAGACTAAGCTCAGAGAAAAAAGGGCGAAAGGTCAGAAGTATGATAAGGACATTATTATCTTACAGGCACTGCAAAAAGAAGTAAGGAGACAGAAGAACATTAGTAAGTGGTCATGAAAACAATTCAAGAACACATCATCAAGATGTACATAAAGCCTATATAAAGCTTTTCATTCTCTTTTGCCCCAAAGATTCTGCAAGAACTTTTGTGCATCTAAAAAGGGTAGCTTAGTGGCACATGGGGATCCTGCTTTTTAAGCAATTTATTAGTTATTTAATTAATTAGAGAAAAGTTCAGGATCAGGTCATGCTCCTGAATGAAGCTGAAAGCAGTGGAAGAGAGGATCTGAGATTTGCCTTCTGCTTTTTTGGTAAGGAAGAATAGTGCAGCATTTAACCCATATTCCTTAGTGGATGATCTCCTGGGAAAGGGAGTTCCAGTCCACGCAGCAGAACTGCAGCTGAAATCATTCTGACCAGCGATGGGGCAAATGCATCAATATAATCCAACTCATAAATGTTGGGACTAAGCCAGCAAAACCTCATTCATGGGAATAATCCCATCAGTACAGAGCCTAGATTAAAGGATACACATCAAACCTCAGCAGAGTTAAGGTTTAAAGCTCGCTGTTTTAGAAAGAGATAATGTTTGCATAAACATCCAAACTTCTGGGACATTCATTAGAATCAAAGTGCAAAGCTCTCAGGGTCTGACCATTAATATGCTGGCACACAGCAATCTCTGTGAGGCAATCAAGCTCTTTTTCAGAATTATATGATCATCCCTATGTATACCCCACTTTTTAAATTTTTCAAAAGCTTTCTTGCTTTTGATTTACTACTTTTCTTCTGGGGTTTATCAACTGCTTTTAGCTTCCTGGCACACTCCCAAACTCATCTGGGTAGTAGCATGAACCCAGTGATCTTGGCATCTAGAATTCTATCTTTAAGAAGCCAAATACCTTTGTTAGTGTCACGGTGGGTTCAAGTTTTCAATACACAAACTTGCTCTCTCCTGCAGAGCACACACAGGAATCACCATGCTCCCAATGCAGCCCACACAGCAGCGACCCCAGCGCTTTGTGTGTGCTGTGTCACGCTTAACCTCAATGTTTTAAACCTATGTTTCCTATATACAGTGGTAATTGGAAATGGCCTTCAACAGCATCTCAAGAACACAATTACATTATATAATGATATCTGAGAATTAGCAAGATACCATATCACCCTGTTTATCCATAAGTAACAAGGTATGATGAATGAGTAAACCTGATCCCAGCTAATGCCTTTCTGACCACCAAAATTCACTAAATGGATGATTCTAATTGCTCCCCAGGGCTTCTGAAATACCACATTTACAAAACTTTCCTCTTATAATCTATATAGATAGTCCTATTTAAAATAAAATCTCCCTGTGTGTGCTTCAGGCTTACTTTAATGAAAGTCTACCCTTATTGTAGATATGGCCACACAGAAACCATGGAAGTGACATTACAGACCACGATGTTCACTTATAGAAAATGCTTTTTTAAATGAAAAACTGACATTTTTTTAAAGTACTTGAACTTATAAACAGGTAAAACATTAATCTCTCCTTTGCCAAACCCTGGAGATTGCACAACTGTGTATTCTTGTGTAAGTTTTCACTGAACTATTTTTTAGATAATTCAAAGTATTCACAAACCTCATGTGAAGCAGGACACATCTGTGCTGTTTCACCTTTCTCTGTTAGATTTTATTTGGGGCCCCAAAAAAACCACAATGAATGCTTTCCCATCATAGAATGCTTTGGGTTGGAAGGGACTTTAAAGACCATCCAGGTCCAACCCCTGCTATGGGCAGGGACAACTTCCACTATCCCAAGCTGCTTCAAGCCTCATCCAACTAGACTTTGGACACTTCCAGGGATAGGGTATCCACAGCTCCTCTGGGCAACCTGTGCCAGTTCCCTCATAGGGAACAATTTCTTCCAATATCTAATCTAAACCTACTCTCTTCTCAGTATGCAAATACAATTTGTAGCTAAGATCCATGTTAAAAGGCACTCTAAACATTAATTTTTTAATTTCTTTAACTGACAGAGAGATTTAATATCTTGAGGTTTCCCAGCTTTGATGAGCTCTCCTGTGCCCAGTATTTAGTTCCCAAAACAAATTTCTCCCATATAGCAGTTGGCACCACTATAGTGGTGCACAGACACAGAAGTTTCCATGAAGATCAGCCATGATAGTAAATCCACTGCCACGGTCATTTTGCTACTTACCCTGTTCTTCCTTGTAAGGGTAAAGTCTGCTGCTCTCCCCTGCCTTGAGGACACATGGATCTACAATTCTGCTGCATAATGAACGTGCCTGTTTATGCCAAGGTTTGGAAAAGGCTTGGGCACAGGTGTCAGTTCCTTGTCAGCCTGCAGGGCCAATAAACAGAGTCTCTGCAATGTAAAATGAGACAATACATTCACAAAGTCATCATGTTTTCCCAGAACATGCGAAGCTCCAAAATAAATGTATTTCAAACATTATAACACTCTCATATTCTTAAAGTTCATTACTGTTTTTAATATTGCTTGCTGCTTATTTACTGTTTACTCACTTGCTTTACTGCCCTGGTGAAACTACAGTTAATTGATACCCTAAATGGAAAGAGAAAAAAAAGGAACACAATTTCAGAAATGCTTGGTCCCTAACTAATTCTGCCATTTCCACTACTGCCAAGATGGCACCATATTAAAAGGTTAAAAGAAACGTCTTCCAAAATTTCTGTATTCTCTCTAATCTCTCTTGTCAATCTTTTAAAGTGGCTTTTTGGCAGTGAAAGTAGCTTTCTCCATTCTGTGACAAAACACTTTGAACAGCAGATGACCTTACAAGCAAATGTCTCTGATGACTGCAGCTGTCTTAGTGGGATTTTCACAGAAACAAAGTCCCTCCCAAGAATGAGAAACAATACAACATTTCCAGACAAAAAATTTATACCCCTCAAAAAGATAGGATTCCCAGCAGACTCTCACACATTAGCTTTTTAGGGAGCCCTTCCCACAACTGCCTAATAATTTTTGAATAGCATTCCCCAGGGACACAGAGCCCCACTCCTCACATGCACCACAGGCACTTGGCTTGGTTTTGCTCTGGTTAATGAATTGTATTCTACTTAGATGGAAAAATCTCTGTTGCCCCTTTAAAATGCCCCTGACTGTCCCTCGAGCTGCTTGCTTACCCCAGTGCCACCTGTATCTGTCTCCATTGATAATGGTGCCACCTTACATCTAACCAGCTTTACAGATGCCAGTTTACTCTTCAACAAAACCAGTCTGTTCCATGGATAATTTCATGAGGCTGAATCTCTATATCTTATGATGGCTTAAAAACTGCTTATCTAGGCAAAGTTATCAGCAAATTCTCATAGGCTTTTGTGCATGCTGCATTGTGAACGTTAAACATTTGCACTCAGTTCAGACTCATTCTATTGCACAATATTTGCAAAAACCCCTCTCTAGCAAAATTGTGCAGTAAAACAAGTACAATCAGCTGATAACAATAAAGAATGGTGCACGGTTGTTCATTTCCTTAGCAAGAAAACAATCAATTTAGCAAAGCAAAAAAAAATCAATTAAATATCAGCTATTCCCCAAGCTACTGCTTGCTTTCTCCCATCTGAACTCTGGAGCCTTTCCTTCTGTGATGGCATAAATGACAGGAGGAAGATTGGAAACGATGGTCATGGTGCTCCTTCACTTTTCTCTCAGGAGCAAGACCAGCAGAAAGGATTTCTTGGGGAAATGTCATACAAAAAGCACTCTTGTGTCTAAGGGAAATTTACATTTAAACCTTATTGATAATAAGAAGGAATGATTAATTTCTTCTGCAAATAGCACACAATAGCTTGGGGTTTGGTACTGCATCTATCCACAGATAGGGGGAAAAACAGTGTGCTCACAGTGTGCTCTACCAGGCACAACCTGATACCATCAGTGGAACTCAGAATACTTCCTATTGCAGATGAAACAATAATTGACTGCAGAGTAATGACAGCATTTTTAGCTTTATGATTAAAGAAATGAAGCTCTAAGTTGCAAAACTGTGCTTTCTTTTGCCTATCAGAAAAAAAAAAAGCTCTATGAAGTCCATAACAGATATTTATTAAAGAGGCATGTATAAGCACACACACAGTGCCCAGGTGTGTGAAGAAATCTACAGGTCTACTTCACCTTTATCACAAGCATCCTGGTATAATTAGCTAGGTTAGGTCACAAAACAGAGATATCTATTGGCAGGTACCACATACTTTTATCTGAGATGCATCAGGATTTTTACACCCTGAAACTCCTCAGTTATTTTTCAGTTTGCACTATAATCATACCAAAATTATCAATTAATATTTTTATTGCTCATAACAGTCATGAATATAATTTAAGACATCAGTAATTTATATCAGCATCAAATAAAAGGAAATTAATAGATTTAACTTTTTTTGAAAATTTTCCTGTTGATGTAAGTTATGATTAAGTCAGTACAATTTTTTTAAGCACACCAGTGATATCACTAGTAAAACTTATTTTTGCAGTTTTTACAATAATATTCCATTAAAAACCCTGCCATCTTTTAGTAATAATCACCACTAACTAAATAAATTTTATTTCTAAGTATTAATACTGCATTATTTTTTTTCCGTTGACTTCTAATTCTGTAGTTTTAAGTGAAAAGTCTGTCAGTTTATCTGACAAAAATAAGAACCTTTTCAAAGATTTACTCATTCCTTTGGAACTGCTCAAATTAGTGAGATACGTTGTTTCTTGAGAAATAAAATGCAAAAGCCTTTTACATGAAGAAGACTTGCTATGCAAACTGATCACAGGGTTCAATCCTGCTCCATTAAAGCTCATAGAAATTATTCCTCAGCTGCAACGTGATTGTGATATTGGAGCATTTAGATCAGCTTTCTAAAAAAAAAAAATTTATAAAAGGGTTTGAGCATGAAACTTTGAAAAATCCACATCAATGCTTTCTATGAATCCTTTCAGATTGGCAAAAATCCCACACTGTGCTGCTAAGAACAATCAGAGTGTGAGGCAGTGAATGCAATGCTTTTTAACAACACATTTTCAGTTATTACTATAAAATTGTAATTAGATAGTAAATTACAATGTTAATATTCACTTTGAACAAATAAGTGTTTGTAGTTGTAGAACTGGGCATTATTATGGTAGCACAGGGACCTATTCACCAAGTAAGACATAGACTTTCTTCATAAAAGTTATTCTATTCTGTACTTTTTCCTTATGAACTTGCATGAAATGCTGGCTTTTTATGTGCACTATTTGCTGAAGTCATCTTTGCCAACATGAAAATCTATATTTCTCTTTGGGGTAGTGCCAAAACAAGCATTTCTCTCATCTGGTTCCACTGCCATCCAAAGAATATCATGACATGAAGGAATCATTCCTCCCTGCACAGAAAAAATATTATGTAAATGAGTTGACAAACTTAAACTCTAACGAATTTCACAGGAACTGTAACGTTGCTTTCTCCATTGTGAAAAAGAAGTCACTCTTATAATGTTTACATGACACTGAAATATCTAAAAACATAGTTTTTATGAAATTATGAAATTTCATGAAATTTATGAAATTATACACATTACATAAGCATTTATGTTATAAATAATAACAATAACATACTATATTATACTTTAATATATATTAATATATATACAATATGTAATATATCTAGAATAGCAATAATGTTAAAAATAGAAAATTCCTACTGTATTTTAATTGTTTTTATTGAGTTTTTCCCTTACCTCTTCCCCTTTTAATATTTTTTTCCGGTTAAGGAAGTTGTTTTGAAGCACGTACAAAGTTTTTTTCCCAGTTTGCATACAAAGAGATTGAAAAAATCCTTTATTTATCATGTCAAATAATTTGCAATATGTTTTGCATAACCTGTCTTTATATAAGATGAAATTTGATTTTAGAAAAGTGTCTCTGAAAGAACATTAGAGCACAGCTCAGTGATAAACTTCTGCAGATTATGTCACGGACATGTAAAATATAATTTACACTATGATCCAGAAGAAAGGCTTCATTACACACAGAACTAGCTAGCTCCAGAGTAGGCACACACAGAGATGTCTCATTCCATGTGTATAATAAGTATCTTGCAGGAGAAGTGTGAGAAAGCAAAGTCTGTATTCCTTTGGAATGTCAGGAATCATCACATTCCACAATCAAAAAGCCATTGACCACACAATGACCACAGAACTGCTGCACAGAAATATGGCACGAGTGACACTGGGCAGTGCAAATCTCCACCTGGCAAAAAGGGCACAAAATATTTCTAGGAGAATTTGATTTCAAAATTTCAGTGATTTATTGACTCTGCTCATAGGTTTCTCCATAAGTCCCAGGAGAGATGGATGAGCGAGCAGAGAGGAGGTAAAGCTGCCAAAAGGTGCATGATAAGTACATTTATCACGTGAGTTTGCAATTTATCTTGTATGTCTCAAATTTTTCATATAGCCCCCATTTGTAATCACCATGTGAAAAATTAGGGAGGCATGTGATAAATTAAGTTGTGAATTGTGATTTCTAATAAGTTAATCATTTATCCGTGCAATTTAAATTTAACTTCTAATCACATCTAGTCTTTCAGGACACAAAAGATCAAACAGAGGAAAACACACAAGACCAAAATGAGACAAAGTAAAGACAGAAAATGTTTCATCAGTGTAAATGCATTTTCATAACCTAGTTTCTGATCCATTATTTCTGAAAACAATAATTTTAACTTGTCAACTGAAAGGATTCCAGAATTTCAGACCACAGGAGGAATTTTTTCACCAAAAATGAAGTGTCTCTTAAACCAAACTGCCTTTAGGTAGTACTGTCACATTACAAGCCCATTAATCCATTTCCTCAGGACTTAACACATTCCAAAATGTCTTTGCCATTTCATTTTAAGATGCCATACAACAAAAAGTTTCTTTTTTCTTTTTTTAACCACAGTTATTCTGGAATCATTAAGAATATATCTATCTCAATTCATCTTGTTCTTAAACTTACACACTGGTACTAATTGCACACTAGCAACCCAGTATTTAGCTGAAATTACTGTATCAAAAAAAAAAAAAAAGCTAAGTATTTAGCTAGTTTGGATAAAATCCATTATTTTCATTAATGGATCTCATTTTTATTTTATTGAGGTTTTTTACTATCAGATTAAAAGCACATTTTTTATTGTTTTTCCTAATGCAATTCTGTGTGATGTGCTCAGAATGAATGAAATTGTTATTGGTTTCTGTTTTTTCTTCTTGCTTTTTTATCTTGGTCCCATTCCTATTATTTACTACTTTTCACATTAGTTTGATACTATTTACTGTGTACACAAGTGCACGTACACGGAATATGCCTATGTATAAATGTCTTTGCA